TACAGTTTAGTATGTTCCACTGAACTTGCAGCCAAACGTAGATGGTTTGATAAATTGTGTGTTTCTTTCTTTAAACCTTGTGATGGCTAAATCTTTTATTTGATGCTTTTTCTCCTTTTTTTTTTAAGTGATTGCTGTTGGAAAAAATGTAGTGCCTGTGTTCCCCTAGAACTGATAGAAAGCCATTTGGTTATGCTAAGGTTTCAGCAAAATCACATACAGATTGCTGACATTGTTCTCATGGAAACCAAATAAATTGGTGCCACTTCCTGGGTTGTAAAGATGTGTTAATATGTTGTGTATTTTTTGTCTTTTTTTTTCCTCCCCAGGATGATATTTGTGGTTACTTTGCTTGAGCCATTAATTAGTGATCTTTCTTTGTGCCAAGTTTTGTGTATAAAAGATAACTAACCTGGTTTACTCCAGAAGACCACAGGAGCAGTTACTGTTGTCCTGCAGGTGAATGACCAACATGGGCTACAGTCCTGTTGTAGAAAGGGTGCATGACGTAAAACTTGGAGATATTTCATTGCACAGGCGTGAGCAAGGCTAGTTAAAAGAAACGCAGTGTTGTAAGGGAAGCTGTTGTAACATCAAGTACCTTGATAAGAATATGATGTTGTTGTGTTTTCCTGTAAATCACTTATGTCCATGATAAAATTACTTGACTTGGCTTTCTTCAGTAAGGGTCACAAGACTCCAGGAGGCACAAGCTGTTTTGAATCAAACCTTTCGGAAAATGGAATATTTGACAGTTATGAATAAAGTTATTTAACAGTCAACTTCCTGTGGTTTACATGCATTTCTGAATCAGGAGGAGGCTGAAGGGCTGCATCTGAGATCTGTGTACTCCATCTGAACAAAAAAGGACATCTACAAGCAATCTAAGTGATTGCTTAAAATTCTTGTATGGTTTATATTAATCTTGTATTAATGAAGCAAAAATGCAATCACCTAACACTGGAAGATCTTTGAAGCTGTTATGTAGGCCATTCATTCCGTTGTACTGGTGTGTGTTCAAGAAGTTTGCTGTATTGCAACATGTCAACATGCATATGAGAAATGTGCTCAGGGCTGAGTTTGACTTGGTTGCTTCCATTGGCATCCTTGGGGCTGTGCTTTGAGTTCAGTAGGAGGGAGTAGGCAGTGGTGGAGTGAGGCTCACTGGTGTGGTTTCTGCAACATAACAGGTCACTGGTAACGTGCAACTGCACTGCAGAAGTTGGCAGTTCAGAACTACTCAACTGTAAAAAAAATTTTTAAAGGATTCACCTGCATTTGTAGAAAACCCCAAAGTGGCTAATTTCAGTCCTTCGTGTTGCTATATTTTATAACTAGATCTTTGATTTAAATTTCCATTGCATGGGTGTGAAGACGACAGGGATGTCATGGAGAGGGACAGTGTTTTTAATGGCGCAGACCCAGCGGTTTCTCAGCCTCCTCTTCGTTCTCTCCTTGCTGTGGGTCTGTTGTGGTTTTGACAGCAGGTTGGCTGCTGCAGCAGCCACATGGCAGGGCCTGGACATGGTGAGCCACACTGGAGCTGGTGGGGCAGAGTGGGGAAACCCAGTTTCTTTTTTCTAGTCATCTTGGGTAAACCAGAAGGTTTCCTTTGTCGAAAAGGAAATTTTAGAATGCAACAACTGTCAAATACAGCTGTTTAAATGCAGCCACTGCCATTTATTTACAGAGAGAGATCTATGTTTCTGTCTAATACCAAGAAAAAGTAGCCTAACACCGAAGCTGTTGTCGTATGGGATTGTGAATAAATCACTTACTCAGTTTTAACAACTCTTGGCATTCAGGCTTTCCTTTTTTTGTTGCATAGTGGGTTTTTCAGTGGATTTCTCCTCATGACTGTATAACATATAGAGGCTCACCCCTTTGGAAAAGGAAGTCTTGCTTGGTTTGCTTTGCAATGCCACCTTTTTGAAGCTTGTTTAAAATGGGTCAGAGCTCTTCTACAGTAGTGTCTTCTGATAATAATCTGTTAGTCGTGTAATTTGCTTTTCAAGGCTACCTGCAGTTAGCAGAGCTTAGCCTGCTAATACGAAGATGACCAGGTCAGACAGATAATTACCACTAGTCAAGGCAGTGGATTGTAGCTGTATGATAAGGAGGGATGTCTCAAATGTGATGGCAGAAGAGATGAAGAATTTGAAGCTGTTGTAAATTCTTAATGCCATACAAATTGGTAAAAGCCATGATTAAATAGTTTTTGTCCTCAGATGCAGAGTTGAGTCCTGTTGATGTCACTTGCTTGGTGTGTCATATTAGTGGTCAGAATAGATTTTTCATATGGGAGGAACCCAGTGGCTAAGCTGAAGATGTAGAAGAGGGAAACTGGTTGCTTGTAACTGATTGCTTTTATAGTTTAATTCCTTGAGTTTCAGAATGGCCTTCTTGATATTTGTCTTCCAGTGACTTTGCTACCTGACAGCCTAGAAAGCTGAACAGTCTTCTCAGGGTGCTTTCTAGCAGTTAATTTACTGTTGGAGGCGCGGCTCCAGAGAGAGCATGGCTGTTGCTGCAGGCCAGTGAATCTTGCATTTGTGTTTTCAGGAAATCCCCTCTTTTGGAAAGCTGCTTGTGGGGGTGTTTTGTGACCTTTTACAGGCTGTGGCTTAGTTGTCTGCTCCGAGTGCTCAATCCATTGCAATAGCAGGAAGCCCTGGGACTTAAAGGAGAGGTAGTAAGTCATGCATTCCAGTACTGCAGAGTTAATGCTCCTTTAGGGAGTAGGCATTGCAGTAAGTAGTATAAGAAAGAGCTGTCTTAAGATTAAAATATATGCATGCACTCGCACTCGTGCATACTTACAGCCTCTGAGGCCCAGGTATTCTAGAATAAATAACTTCACTTAAGGAGCCTGAAATCTTGCTGACTTGTATGTAGTCCTGTGGGGGAGGGAGAGGTTGCCAGCTCCTACTAGGACCCAAGAAAAAAATTAAGTCTGACCTTAAACTTTACTTTGTCTTAACATTCAGCTACACACAGTGAACTTAGTACTTGGAAGGCCTGAATTCTGATCCTGTTACTCCTGCTTGGGAAGCTTGATGGATTTGTGCATCAAGGTTGTGTATTTTTATTTTCTGTGAAATAGGAATTCTCTTGCCCCTACACTTTCCTTTCAGAATTGAGGCTAAAATGAATTTCTGAAGTGCTGAAAAAGATGTAGGTGTAAAATACTTCTGCTGTTGTTGCAAGTGATTGCTCCTTTGTGCCTCCAGACTGTTTAAAATGGTTAGTGTTGATGCTGCAGTTTGTCACCCTAGAGAAAATCAGCAATGTCAAGTTAAATAGAAGGTGAAAAAAAGGAGCAGAACTGTTTTGGACTCTTT